AACCAATCATAAATCCCAAGAAAACAAATCAAACAAAGAGGTAGGGAGTGATGAGAAAAAAGAAAAAAATCAAACAATAATTAGGAGATCCAGGAAACATACCCACAGATAGACATAAAAGTCTTAAATGTTTATATACTAATGCACAAAGCTTGGGGAACAAACAGGGTGAACTAGAAGCAATAGTACACGAGGGTGGATATGACATAGTTGGCATTACAGAAACCTGGTGGGACGAAACCCATGACTGGAATGGACTGATGGATACAAATTGTTCGAAGGAAACAGACTACAAAAAGAGGAGGGGGAGTTGCACTGTGTGTAAGAGAACACTACCTATCTACGGAAATGGATGTGATCATAGATAAAATCCCTCCAGAATCTGTATGGGTCAATATAAAAGGGAAAAAAAGTGACATCGCCATAAGGGTATACTACAGGCCACCCAACCAATCAGAAGAAATAGATGGACTCTTTGCTAACCAGTTAACAAATGTATGTAGGAAGCATACCACAGTAATAATGGGAGCCTTCAACTACCCAGATATCAGCTGGGAGACAAATTCTGCAGCGAGTGGGAGATTAAACAGATTCCTAACTAACCTAGCTGACAATTTTGTCATCCAAAAGGTAGAGGAGGGAACTAGAAGTAAAGCTATACTGGACCTAATTTTTCATAATAGAGATGAAGTGATAGAGGAAGTTGAAGTTGCCGGAACCTTGGGGGAATGTGACCCAGGTAATACTGGAATTCAATATAATGCAAACACAAGTAATAGAAAATAATTCAACTAATGTTTTAAACTTCAATAGAGCTGATTTTAACAAACTCAGAGAGAACCTAGGAAAGATTCCATGGATGAAAATCCTAAAGGGCAAAACAACTCAAGAAGCATGGGAAACTGAAAAATGCTATCATAAAAGCCCAGTCCAGCACAATACCACTGAAAAAGAAAAAACAAGAAAGTCAAGAAAAAAACCAGCATGGTTGCACAAAGATCTCTCAGACAAACTGAAAGAGAAAAAGGACAAGTACAAAAAATGGAAAGGGGGGCACATAACTAAGGCTGACTATCAGCAGACAGCCAGCACATGCAAAGATGAAGTCAGGAAAGCAAAGGCTCAGAATGAACAAAGACTTGCAACAGAAATCAAGGATAATGAAAAAGCTTCTTTCAACATATTAATAACAAGAAAAAAGTCAAGGAAATTGTAGGTCCACTAAAGAGAGAAGATGGCAAGGAAGCAACAAACAATAGCGAGAAAGCAGAGCTGCTTAACTCATTCTTTGCATCAGTCTTCACACAAAAAGAAATTTTATAGCACAGTATACCAAAAAAAAAAATACTGTAAAAGACAAACTAGAAACAAAAATTAAAATAAGCAAGAAAATGGTAACAGAACACCTATCCAACCTTGACGAATATAAATCACCAGGACCTGACAGATTACATTCCAGAGTTCTGAAGGAGCTGGCAGTTTTATCTCAGAACCATTGCACCATATCTTTCAAAAATCCTGGAGCATCGGGGAAGTACCTGAGGATTGGAAAAGTGCTGATGTGGTTCCTATCTTCAAGAAAGGAAAAAAAACAGACCCAGGAAAATACAGACAATCAGTCTAACATCAATACCTGGGAAGATCCTGGAAAAGATAATCAAAAAACAGATCTGCAAACAACTAGAAGCAAACAAAGTTATAACTGGCAGCCAGCACAGATTTGTTAAAAACAGATCATGCCAAACGAATCTTATTTAATTCTTTGATAAAGTGACCAAATTAGTAGACCAGTGAAACGTGGACATAGTATACTTAGATTTCAGTAAGGCATTTGACAAAGTAGACCACAATCTACTGCTTGGTAAGCTAGAAAAAGGTGGCATAGACAACATCACCACCAGATGGATTTGTAGCTGACTGACAAACAGTACTCAACGTCTAGTCCTCAAAGGTACTACATCGACATGGAGAGAAATAAGCATTGGGGTACCACAAGGCTCTGTCTTAGCCCAGTACTCTTCAATATCTTCATTAATGACTTAGATGAGGGAATAGAAGGGGAACTCATCAAATTTGCAGATGACACTAAACTGGCAAGAATAGCCAACACCCCAGAAGACAAGCTCAGGATTCAAAAAGATCTTGACAAACTGGAACAATGGGCCCTATCCAACAAAATGAGTTTTAATTGGAGAAAAGCAAAGTTTTACATTTAGGCAGGAAAAATCAAAGGTATAAGTATACATTAGGCAAGACCTGGCTCAAAAACAGTAACTGTTTTTGGACCTTGGAGTCCTAGTGGACAATCACTTGACTAATGTGCAGCAGCAGCCAAAAAAGCTAATACAATCCTGGCTTGTGTAAACAGAGGCATAGAATCAAGATTACATGAAGTATTAGTACCGCTTTATAAAACCCTGGTGAGATCACACCTGGAATATTGCAACCAATTTTGATCACTGTACAACAAAAAAGATGTTGAGATTTTGGAAAAAGTTCAGAGAAGAGCAACTAAGATGATCCAAGGCCTGGAGACTAAAACATATGAAGAACAGCTGCAGGACTTGGGTTTGACTAGTCTAAAGAAAAGAAGAAATAGGGATGACATGTTAGCAGTATTCCAGTATCTGAGGGGCTGCCACAAAGAAGAAGGTGTCAAACTATTCTCCAAACATCAGAAGGCAGGATAAGAAACAATGGCTGGAAACTGATCAAAGAGAGAAGCAACCTGGAATTAAAGAGAAATTTCCTAACAGTAAAGATAATTAACCAGTGAAGCAGCTTGTCTTCAGAAATCATGGGTGCTCCATCACTGGAGGTTTTTAAGAGGAGACTGGACAGTCAATTTTCAGAAATGGTATAGGATCTCCTGCTTGAGTGGGGGGCTGGATTAGAAGACCTCCAAGGTCCCTTCCAGCTCTATTCTCTTCTCTATTCTATTCTTATTCTTTCCAATACCGTCTTGTGGGGCCTTGGGTTGAGTTTTCCCACCTTCTTCCCAGCATTGCCCCTGTTTTGGGGTTGCTTTGGTGAACTGGCAGTCAGCGGTATAGTGCCCTTCCTTCCCACATTTGAAGCAGCCCGTGAGTCGGCGTTTGGGGCTGAGGTTGTGCCCAGGTGTTCTCAGGGCATCCTTCTTCTTCAATGGGGAGGAACCGCACCATCCACAGGCATTGCAGCTATAAGATCTGACCAGGTGGATTTCCACCTCCTCAGCTAGCATATACCACTGGCATAGGGTGAGGGGGGGCTCCCCACAAGATGAAGATGTTGTATGCATCTTTGTTGAGCCCATCTTGGAAGCATTCTATCAGGATGTCCTCTTGCCAATTGGCTAGCTGACAGGACAGCTCACAGAACACTTGATTGTAAGCTGTGCCTCCCCTGTGACTCTGATTGATGGTTTGATGCGGGTTTGTGCTTTGCAATGAGCAATGGGTCCTCGAATCACTTGCACAGGGCCATCATGAATTGGTTGAAGCTTCAGAGCTCTGGTGCATTGTCAGTGTGGAGGAAGACCATCCACTCCACTGCGGTGCCTTCCAGAGCCATAGTTATGCACCTGACCCAGGCTGCATTGGTAGCCAGGTCTGCTCCATATTACTGAGTATGAATATAATTTCACACCTGGGCAAAATGGGCTGCCCAAATGAGATGGGTGCGACGCTCAGCCTGCAGCACTACTTTGAGCTCGGCGAAGCACTGCTGGTCCTGCTGCTGGCGCTGGTAGTAGAGGGTCCCGCTGTGCATCACATAGCAGGTGGCAGCCTTGCGGATCTTGTGCTTGACGTTGCCCTCAGTACCCGGTGCATAAGGCTTGCGCTCGTTGGTCAAGTAGCACAGGATAGCCAAGTAACTCTCCTCACTCGACATGGCAGGCGGGGAGGCGAGTGGCAGCTGATGGATGCCCCCTTGTCAGCAGAGGGGGCACTTCAGCTGCTGAAAGGAGAAGAGGGTCTGATGCAGGTCCAGCTCTGTTTGGGGGGGGGGGTTGAGCCCTTGGGTTCCCAGCGGAGGAGATATGAGGGAACTCTCTGGAGAAGGAAAAACCCCAACCTAATGAAAGTATGCCATAAAAGATGAATTAGGAATACAAGTCAAAATAGACAAGAAAATGGTAAAACAACACCTTTCCAATCTAGAAAAGTTTAAAATCACCAAGACCAGATGAATTATAATCCAGGGTTCTGAAGGAATCAACAGCAGTAATCTTGGAACCACTGAACCATATCTTTCAAAGATCCTGGAGCATTGGGAAACTACCAGAGGAAAAGAACAGATGTGGTTTCCATCTTCAAAAAGAAAAAAGAAAAAAAAGGGGGGGGGGACCCAAGAAACTACAGACCAATCAGATTGACATTAATTTCTAGGAAGATCCTGGGAAATATAATCAAGCAATGGATCTGCAAACACTTAGAAACAAGCAAAGCCAACTAGAAACTAGAAGGCAATATGGGTTTGTCTAAAGCAGACCATGCCAAACAAACTTATTGCATTCTTTGAAAAAATGAATAAATTAGTGGACCAACAAAATGCTGTCAACATAGTATACTTTAGTCAGGAATTTGATAAAGTAGATTACAACCTCCTTCCTGGTAAGATAGAAAAATTAGAGTAGACAGTATCATCACCAGATGGATTTGTAACTGGCTGATCAACCACATTCAACATGTAGTCCTTAATGGATCACATCTACCTGGAGGGAAGTAAGATTCCGACATGGGCCCACTATTCTTCAATACCGAAGCTGTTGCAATGACCAGGGTCTGAGTGACTTTTAGTCAAAAAGTCCATACAGACTTTCCAACCACCAATAATTGTAGATATTGGCAGGTACATTTTAAAGGGTTGTCGTGGCCATACCTGCTATGGCCCAGAAAAGTGCTTTGGATTGGCAACACTTCACGTCACTTTTTCGGGTGGCCGAGCACCTTCTGTCCAAGGTGGTTGACCCTTGAGAGTGGAGTGCTTGTTCTTAGAAATGACAACTGCCTTGCTGAGTTTGAACTGGGGTTTAATACTTTGTTGCTCAGTTTTACATCTGTCCTGCTGGGCTGTTCAGCTTCTCTGCACTCGGCTATGATTTGGGATAACGGCGGCCAGAACCGTTTCTCCATTTATTCTGTCATCCTGTAGCACCAGCAGCCGAGGACTGCCTAACAGTGGCTTTTCCTACAAAGGTCGAGCTCCACTCACACAGAGACGGCGGGGGAGGGGGGCGTTGCCTCCCTGGCCAGCCTACCTCCGCCCCTCCCCCCTTCCGCCTCCTCCGACTACCAGCCCCAGCAGCAGTTTAGGCTTGGCACGCAAGCTGAGGAGGCATCCGAGGAATTTGCTTCCTGCGATCCTTGGGCTGAACATCTCTCCAAGCGCTTCTCTTGCATGGGGCACGGCAGGACGGAGTTGCCGCGGCTGAGTGATGGCCCAGCCTTTAATCAAGAAAACTTTCTCCCGACTGAGGAGCAAGGAACGCCTGGGGAGTAAAAAGGCGACGCCCGCGCCTCAGAACGAACCAGGTACCTGAGGGGGGGCACAGGGTAGGGGCTCCCCTGTCCCGTCCCCCTGCTGGGAGCACACCTCGCCCGGCAGGAGGGGGCTGCTGTAGAGTTCTTCGGCATTTCCTCCCCAGCTGTTCCTGAAATAGGCAAAAGAAAACAAAGGAGAAAGGCTACCGAGCTGGGATATGTAGCGCACTCCTTCTTTTCGCAGTGGCCCTGGGGAGCCCAACCGAGGCCCATATTCCCGAGCGAATTGCTGAGGCCGTTCTCTAGGACTGCCCACGTTTTTTCTGCCCAGCCCCGGCCCCAGCCTCCGGATTGAGATGAAAAGCGCCTCTTGTGTCTGTCGGCCCGTTGAGTAACAAGGAAGCGGAGTGAACTTGGAACTTATAGTTCTATAACTTCTGCAGCCCCTGCCTCCTTTCTGAAAGCATTCCCAGCAGTCGGGTGAAAGCTGATGTTGGTGGTCGGCGGCGACTTTGATCGCAGGAATAGTAGAAAGAGATTGGGATCGGGACCCTTCTGGTTTTAAGGAGATGTGTTCAGCCAGCTTGAGAGGCCTGTTATTTCACCAAAGAGCCCTGTGTTCCTGAAATAACTAGCCCAAAGGGATGGCAGTAGCATCCTACAGCCAGAGAGTGGGTGGTTCATATGGTCAGAGGACATGTGACTGCCAGAAAGAATCACTTGACTGGATCTTATGTTCTGGATGCCATTCTGTGCCATCATGTGATTTCATTGTCACAAAGAGCCAGTGTAGAATAATAGTTTAAGTGTTGGAAGTGGACTGAGAAAATCCATGTTCCAATCCCTGGTTGATTGTTGGCTTTGCTGGGTAAACTTGAGACACTCTCTTTCAGCCTACTCTGCCTCTGAGGATTGTGTTGAGGACAAAGTAAGACAAGGGTGTATACTATGGTATGCACTGCATTTATTACATGCTTCATTTACATGCTGGCTTCCAGTTTTTATTTGCATCCAGCTGCTGCATATAAAACTCTACCTGACAAGAGATCCACAAATGGCTGGATGAATTAAATGTTAATTCTGCAATGGAATGCAGAAGATGTCAGTTGGCATTTCTTTTAATTAGTCTCTGGTGACACTGTAAGAAGGGTCTAAGGAAATCTTCATATAGATTCCCTTCTCCATTAGGTCCTTCACAATGAACATTCACAGATTGAATGCTGAAAGTCAGGAAATTGGGGTAAATATTGAAATAATAAAGCAGCATGATTTGTATGAGAGAGGCTTACAGTCATATTGAACTAAGTAGCTAATTTGGGTGTGCTAGGGATTAATAAAAAAACATACCATTGTGAGCCTCTGGAGAAAATAGCTTACTCTAAACCTCCTTTCTTCTTTTCTAAATAAAAAGTAATAATCATGTAGCTTGTAGAACTGAGAAGGTAAACATGACATGTACTGCAAATTAAGTGTATTCTACCAGTTATGATAACCGAGAAAAATGCTACATTTCTGCAGTTTTTACTACTTGTAAAAAAAATGTCAAAGCTATCTCAAGATGTAAGTGTGACTGTTTTTACCCCCAGCTTTTATCTGAGAATTTTGCACAATACTGATGGAAATGGTAATGAACAATTCCCCAGTCAATGAAATAAAACCTTTTTTAAAAATAGTGAAATAGTGTAATCAAATATGTTGATTAATGAAACAGGATGTTCTACAATTTTAAAAAGTAACTCTGAAAAGGGAGGTAGTTCTACTGTTTGTGCTCTTTCCAATCTCTCCTGATTTGTGACCTGCATTTTCATTCTTGAGTTATGCCTGAATCAATGGGCATAACTTCATGTGGAGTTAGTTGGGGACCTACAAAGGGAGCTCTGTATCTTGGCCAAGGAGGGGAATATGCAGTAAACAACAGGAAATCCAACTTGGCGCTAGATCTCAGCAGCTGGAAGCTTGGGACCTTGCCCTATTGCAATCCTCAGCTGTACGTCTTCAAGCCAACCCCTTCCCAGAACCCCTTTCCCCATACTGCTTAATACTTTCTCATTTTTCTTTTGGCATTATAATAAATTCTGAAGGGTTATTTCATTCAAAGAAACTTTCATTTCTAAGATTGTTGACGGTCAAGAAACATTTACTTTCAGTGTTCCCTTTTGATGTGAATTGAGAGTGTCTGGTTCATTATCTGGTAGCATAATTGAAGTAGAATAGAATAGAGCTGGAAGGTACCTTGGAGGTCTTCTAGTCCAGCCCCCTGCTGAAGCAGGAGGACCTATACCATCTCAGACAAGTTGATTGTTTAGCCTCTCCTTAAAAATCTCCAGTGATGGAGCGCCCACGATTTCTGAAGGCAAGCTGTTCCACTAGTTAATTGTCCTCACTGTCAGGAAGTTTCTCCTTAATTCCAGGTTGCTTCTCTCTTTGATCAGTTTCCAACCATTGTTTCTTGTCCTGCCCTCTGGTGCTTTGGTAACTAACATGACCCCCTCTTCTTGGTGACAGCCCCTCAAATACTGGAATACTGTTATCATGTCACCTCTATTCTTTTCTTTAGACTAGCCCAGGGGTAGGCAACCCAAAACACTCAAAGAGCCACTTGGACCCATTTCCCACCAAAAACAAAACACCGGGAGCCGCAAAACCCTTTTGATATCTAAAATGAAGATAACACTGCATATATCCTTTTTTACCTTTCTTATAGGTGTGTGTGTGTGTGTGCGCACACGCGTGTGTGTGTATGTATGTATGTGTGTGTACACACACACACACACACACACTAAAAAAAAAGTAAAAATATGACTCTTGGGAATATCCATACTATTAAAACAATGATCACCAAGAGAATGCTTTAAGAGAATAAAATTACATACACACACAGTTAAAAAAAGGATATATGCAGTGTTATCTTCATTTTAGATGTCAAAAGGGTCTCTCTCTCCCTCCCTCTCTATCTGCCCTTGGTCTGCCACTCCTCTTCCCCCACTCTCTCTCTCTCTCCCTCCCTCCCTCCCTCCCTCCCTCTCTCTTTCTCTCTCTCTCTTTCTCCCCTCCCTCCTATCTGCTGCTCACCTGGCAAGCTTCAAGCTATTGTCCAACAAGATCAGGGGTAAGCAACCTCGTCTCTTTCATGACTCATGGACTTCAACTCCCAGAATTCCTGAAGCCTAGCTGGGCTAGCTAGCTCTCTCCTGTCCTTCCTGCTTCCTGCAGAGACGCAGCAAAGGGAGGAGCTCCACCCAGAAAGCTTTTCAGCTCCTCGGAGAACACTGTGAGTACACTCTCTTTTACACACACACACAAAAAAACACAAACACACACACACACACAGAGAGAGAGAGAGAGAGAGAGAAGCAGGGAAGCGCAATTGCCTCTCTCTGTCTCTATCTCTCTCTGCAAAGGCAGAGGAGGCTGGGAGCCAGAGGGGAAGGCTCAAAGAGCCGCATGCGGCTCCGGAGCCGCAGGTTGCCGACCTGTGGACTAGCCAAACCCAAGTCCTGTAGCCGTTCTTCATATGTTTTAGTCTCCAGGCTTTAATCATCTTAGTTGCTCTTCTCTGATTTTTTTCCAGACTCTCAACATCTTTTTTGTGACCAAAATTGGCTGCAGTATTCCAGGTGTGGTCTTACTAGGGTTTTATAAAGAGGTACTAATACTTCATCTTGATCCTATGCCTCTGTTTATACAAGCCAGGATTGTATTAGCTTTTTTGGCTGCTGCTGCACACTGCTGGCTCATAGTTAAGTGATCATCCATGAGGACTCATCCACAATCTTAATACTTAATACTATTAATCAAGAGAAAACTAGAGTCTGGAACTAAAATTCAGCCTTTTGTAGAAAGGTTTATAGTCCTCCTGAATAGTGAGTGGATGACGGCATCTTCATCCTCATCACTAAATTTGCAGATGGTGATTTTGCACAATTACATATAGTGAGCCAGTGGCATTCTTTCCTGAACTAGCTGAATGTGTCAGTGGTTATGTACATCCCTTGATTACATCCTGCCATGACAGTTGCAATATGCTTGTACATTGAACTGTCCTTGAAAAGTGGAAGCTACCATGTCTACTAGAAAGCTAAACAGTTCAAAATACAGGAATCATATGATATCTATACTGAAACATCTGCACCAGTTGTCAGTTGCTTACTTAACATAGTATTGATTTTTAAAGTCATGAACAGCTTAGGCTCCTCCTCTCCTTATGATCCTGTATGTTTATTGAATTCTGCAAGAGAGACTTTTTTGAAGATGATTCCACTGTCAGAGGCCCATCTTTCAGGCACAGGAGAGAAGGCCTGGTTCTATGTTGGTCTCAGACTATGAAGAGCACTCCCTTGGGAGATGAATTTGTCCAGGTCTCTCAGTGTCTAGAAAGTAAATGAAGATATTAGTTATCCCACCTAATTTTGTGTTGTCTGCAAATTGGTTAAGCATTCCTTCTATTGTTTCCTTACAAACCCATAAGAAGCTCCCTGCAATACAGTAGTGGGATTCAGCCAGTTCGCACAAGTTCGGTAGAACTGGTAGCTAATTTTTTGTTGCCCAGTCCCAGAGTGGACTTCCGGAAGTGGCATCCACACAGAGAACCGGTTGTTCACATATTTGAATCCCACCAATGCTGCAATACCTCTCTTCATGTTACTGAAGAACCATTGATAAGTACTCTTTGGATACATTTTTATGTCTATGTCTTATTTTAATTGTCATGCAATCCAGCCCACATTTAACTATCTTGCTAATCAGAATATTTTGGAATGCTTTGGCATGGCTGAAATCAAGAAATTTTACAATGATAGCATTTCCAGTTTACTAAGGTAGTTAATGAATCAAAAAGAGATAATAAGATTTGTTCATGACAAATCCATGTTAACTACTGGAATTACTGTACTTCCCCAAGCATTGAAAATTGATCTCTTTATTCTGTTCTAAAATCTTTGCAGGTGTCAATGTTAGATTGAGTGGTCATTGTGCATTCAATCTTCATTTTCCTTCTTTTCGAACATAGGGACTTCTTCTCATCTGGCACATGCCCAGTTTACAGGATTTTTCAGAGATAATATATATAGGGATTTGTCTAGACTATGATCTGATTCCTTCAATATCCTAGGATGCAATTAATTTGGTATTGGAGATATAAACTAATTCAGAATAAAGAGATGGCCATGTTTCCATCAGTCTCAAGCTTCAATATTGCTCCTAGATCTTGCTTTTTTATTTTGGTTTGATCAGTTTTTGTTAGCTGCCTTGAACATTTTCCAGACTAGAAAGTAAATCACATAAAATTTAAAAAAATGTGATCAAAGGATGCAACACTTCAGATAGTTGCAGGAATGATTCCTAGTATGCAGTAAGCAGCATCTGGGTTCCATTTTCTGTTTAGCAGGAGTCATGTTTAAGCTTTGGCCCTTTTCTGTCATAATTATATATTAATTCATAATTATATATTTCTCTGTTAAAACAACTAAGGGGCCATATTGGACAGATTAATAAATCAACTTCTGTTCCAGTAGATCCTCCATTGGAGCTACCAGACGATTTACATCTACCTTCTGAGCCTAAGCCAGTGGATACTGTTCTGTTGATTGATGGATGCCAGAAAAGTGCTGCCATCACTATGTCACGGAAACAAAACTGGGCCAAATTCACCTGGGGCAGTCAAGAGGACTCTCGTAACAGGAGGCTGTGCCAGAGCTTTTCCCCTGTGCCACAGGCCCCTGCAGACATTGGCTTAGTGGCAACTGGACCTAATAAAGATACTGACTTGCTAGCCAGCTACCTGGAGACATGTAACCCCACCCTCAGTGCCAAATACAGCAACCAAGGTGCTTATCTACAAACCCTGGAAAAAAGTAGCCGCCAATGGGTGCTCTCCGCAGGGAAGACTCAGGGGGTAGAAGGGACAGCCACTGAGATGAAAGATTTCCACAAGCATGGCAACTCCCAAGGAGAGATCTGGTACAACCCAATTCCAGAGGATGAGGACCTGCAACTCCTGTCCCTTGAAAGGAAGTGTGGTAGTGATTGTGAAAATAAGGACAAGAAGAGGAACCCAATACAAGTTAAAGTACTGCATGAATGTATAGATATTAGCAGCTCGCTGAAGGCAATCACTAATGTTGTGCAGATTTCCCCAATCCAACTGAGGCATGTTAAGCAAGTGGAGATGCTGGGCCATCACCAGTCTAAGACATACGGTGAGCTGGTTCTTAGCAGAGACTCATTTTTCCATGAGCATGAGAACTGCGTTGTGGCTTGGAGAATTTAAGTCTGAGGACTGTGGGGAATGGTTGAATGTCATGGGTTTAGTCAAGAGCCAGATTGTTCTTCTTTTATACTGAAGCATAATCTCCTGGAAGTATCTCTTCTTTAAAAGGGTTGGGAATAGAGAAGACAACCCCAGTCTTTTAAGTAACTGCTTTGCTGAGTTAGGTTAGTGGACTGTGCTCAGAGTGCTTAAAAGAGATCCATTCTGAAATGCACAGCAGTGCACCACTAAACCCTGTGAGTTGCTCATGGATGTCTTGAAATGTCATTTACCTTAAACCTGTATTGAATTTAAGGTGATTACTAAGGGAAAAGCATCTTCAGTGAAACCAGTACATGTCATTGATTGGTTTGCTGGTTATAGAAGTTTCCATTTGTTTAATCATTCATAATACCATCTACTTTTTTTGGTTGAAAATGTTGAGTTTAGCAGTATGTACATTCATGTTCCTATTAATAATTAAAGTAGTATTTCAATTTTGGGGGTATCTGCAGTAGACAAAGTCGGAAGGTCTGCTGCAGCATTAACCATTTATATTGTATCAGATTATTCTGCAGCTTTTCTCTCTTTTTTTGAAAGAAGAGGATTGCCTTCTTTAGTTATCCTTTTTTTGTGAAAAGCCATGAGACCAGTTTTTTCTCTCCCAGCCTATTACCCTTGCAGCTTTGGTGCAATGCCTGTTACTTCCTGGATAAGTGGCATTTGGCCTGTCTTACACAGTCTCTCTCCTCAGGAAAGGTGCCTGTTGCAACTGTGGAACCTGAAGAACGTTCAGCCAGTGGCATGCTGATAGCCAAGAACACCAATGCCAATAAAAAGAGCCATTCTTTCAGCAAGACCAAGTCCCCAGGCCCAGTACGAAGTCTTTCCATGAAGATGAAGAAACTGCCAGAGCTGAGGCGGAAACTAAGTCTGCGTAGCTCCCGTCCTCGAGGGCCAGAAGGGAGCTCTTCTGCTAAGGAGTCAGGGAATGTCATTAGCCGCTACCATCTTGACAGTAGTGTGGTATCTCAGCGACCTGTGACCAGCAATGAGGGATATTTGAGTGATAGTGAATCCCTAGAGCTTCTGTCTAAGGCGGAGGCATGCCTTGGCCTTGAAGGGTCATCATTCTGGCTGTACAGTTTTCCTGAACAGCCTAGCTGTCTACAGCATCTCTCTGGTCTTGTCAGCATCCACTTGCTGGGGATCCAGGGCTTCAAGCCTCCCAAAGCTGAAACCAAAGAGCTCTTCTGCATTCTTCAAGTAGACTCTGTTAACAAGGCTCGCACAGCCCTCCTGCCTTGCCAGGCTGCTGTCCTCACTCTCAACCATTCTTTCCAGCTGGAGCTTGAGGATGCCCAACTTCTCAAAATGGTGGTCTTCTCCTGTGATCCTACTGTGGGCAAGAACCGAGTTTGCTGCCATGGTACCATCATTCTGCCCCAGGTTTTTCAAGGTGAGGAAGACTGTTGAGGCACATGCCAATAGACAGTTTCCTAAGGAATTACAGATAGAAATAAAGTCCTTTGCAGTCCACCTGCTCAGGAACATACAGTAGGAAGCTACCTTCTGCAGGATCAGATCATATTTTTACTAGTTCAGTAGAGACTAGATCGAAGGGTCTCAATCCACCATCATTCCCCTTAAAGGTTACTTTTAAACTTGTGGTGGGATGAAAGTCAAAGTTGTAACCCCATTCATGCAAGGACTGTGCTCTCTTATTGTCTCTCTCCTTCCTGTCAGCAGGGCACAGGATCTAAGTCCTGTTCAAGATAGTAAAGTGTTGGGTAGATCTCAAGAGCTTCTAATATGGATTGACCCCATGGCATTGCATGGTCTGGGGAAGGGGATGGGGAAGTGGGGATCCATTGTGGTCCTCACATTCTCTAACATTTCTGGTTTTAGGTTGCAGGACCCAGCAGTTGGCACTACAACTGGAGCCTCAGGGGCTTCTTTACATCAAACTCACTCTGGTGGACCAGTGGGATCCAGCTAACTCTGAACAGGAATCACAAGTCTTTGGAGTGAAGCTGGATCAGGTGGTGAAAAGAGAAGGTGCTGCCATCAAGGTGCCACTCCTAATCCAGAAATGCGTAACCCAGATTGAGAAACGAGGATTGAAGGTGAATGTTCTCCATACCCAAAGCAACCAATTGCCTAAATACAAAATAGAGTAGCTCAACCTGACCATCTCCTTTCTCCCAATCCAGATGTCTGTTTTTTGCAGTATGCCATCCATGTGGGATTTATTTATTTATAGAACTCACATGGCCACTTATCTCATACAAGGATTCTAGGCAGCTCACAAGCAACCCTAAAACATAGTTAAAAATAAAGATACTTTCCCTCCAGGTTCCAGACCAAACATTTTCACAATTCAGCCCCATATACTAGCCCAATTATTCTGGAACGTATATGTAACCCCAACTAGAGAGCAGATATCAGCATGTTAGAATGTCTGGCAGTTATTGGGTTAAATGCTAGGTATGTGGATGGGTCAGTGGGAGGGAGTTCCAGAGGGTCATTGGGAGACTTCCTGGACACAAGCCACACGGGAATCTCTTTGTCTGTAAGAAGCATGGGCGATGGAAGGTCACACATTAAGCCTGAGCTGTTATAAAGATGGCATGGAAGAGCATCATACTTTTACCTAAAGAGATGGTCTAAAGAAATGGACAAAGGTTGCATTTTCCAGGAGTATCAATCACAGCGTGAATGCAAGTAATCTTTCTAATAAATATATTTTTTGTTTATTATAAGATCTTTTGTTTTGAGTTATCTATCTGACTGGATTTAAAAGAAGGCATTTTTTATATCTGAGTCAGAATAGTAAAAGTATGCTCGTAATTCATGCCATCTTTTGAAAGCAAATAGTAAATTGATAGAGATTAAGTCTCCTCTCAAAGCTGCAGCAGTAATCTCTGGGATCAGCCTCCCAATAAAGCCTGCAAAGCAGTCAGTGTGTTTGCCTGGCAGCCAAGCATTTCAAGGTGTGATTTGATGCATTGTCTTGTTAATTCGCTGAGAACTCAGCAAGGAATCATTGCTAGCCAACGTTTTAAAGCAAAGGAATTCCAAGCAGCAGCCCCCCTTCTCCCTTCCCCTGCTGAGGCAAAACGTCTTGAAGAAAGGAGGGACGGTTGCAAAAGATTGTCTGTGAAGCCAGTAAGCCTTAAAGAGTTTTGATGTTAGCATATGGATTCAACTAGCTTGTTTTGGGATGCTTTGATATGTGTGAGTCTGATCCTTTTTAAATGAACAGAGCAAGCTGGAAAAGTTTCTGGGCTAGAAAATTCAAACCTTAGCAAATTTCTGTGGCTTTGTAAAGCCATTTGTTGCCTTAGCAACCAGGCCTAAGAACAGCAAGAGGCCCCTGAGGGCTATAAAAGGGCAATTAACTCTCTGCTGAATGCTGTTTATTAGTCCAGTTGCCCTAGCAACAAGTCACTAAGGAAAGCAATTAATCTCTTTCCAACCACAGCTTCGAATTTCAGCCTATGTTATGGGACAAGGCATCTGGTTACAGAGGCAGAACCAACCCCAATAGCATTGCAGTGAATCTGTCAGTTAAAGTGCAAGCTACTTGAAGTTATCCCAAGCTACCAACATCCCCTAGAGGGCACAGAGTGAACTTACGAAAAGCACTCCTTCACTCACTCAAGCTGAACACCAAGCTGTTCCAGTTTGAGGGAACTTAGGCAGAAGAAAGCGAAGCCAATTCTCTTGCTTATCATCACAGCTGATGACCCAGAGTCCAGCCTGCAACTCAACGGTAGCCAGGTGAGAGTTTGTACCTCTACATTCTCTCAGTGGCTACTAGCAATAACGTGGTAATAGGAAGAATTTGGCTGGCCTTTCTTCAGACGCCCCCTAGTGGTTAAAGGAGGCACTACACACAAGCCTTTAACCGTACCCAGAGAAGGCCCTCTAGTGGACAAAGGGTGAACCTCGAAGCCAGAGCACCCTGGTAGCTGACCCTCAGCAAGTGACCCCTAGTGATGAAGAAGTGAACTGCACTGAGGTACCTACAAACGCAGGAGAACACATGCAGTGGCATCTCCACCCACAGACAGCACCTCTGAAGCTGATCTACGAGTAGTGACGCCTAGTGGTCAAAGAGAGAAGTTCTTCAAATTCTATTCAAAATCGCTGAGAAGAACACTGAACCTACCCTAACCATGGCGGAGTGTCTTATTGATTTGGACGAAGAGGTTCAACTAACCAGCCTAGTTGAGACACCCCAACCAGCCAGTCAAGGAGAGATGCTGCAAATAGCCAACCTTGACCCGTATGCAGAGGTTGAAGCTTAAGCCTCAACAAAGCCAAAAACGTCTCGGGGTCAATATGATCTAAGACAACAAAGAAAGCCCACAGCAGCCATGCACTCACATCTGATGGAAAGATGGGAGTCAAACTACAAGCGCCATGAAAGACACTGGAGGAAACTACTCCAACTCTACCAAGAGCCTCAGGAGGAGCTTTCCCCTGAACAGGCGAGTGAATTGGAAGAAGATAAAGAAGATGCCTTTGAGCAATGAAGGAGCTCTGAACAGCAACTCGAGGACATTCAAGAACAATTAAGAGACTCAACTATCGATAGCGAGATGCAAAGCCTCAAGCTACTAAACAAGGAATGTAAGAAGTTTCTAGAGAGCTCACAGGGTTCCCCACAGCCCGAGCCTCACCAGAGAGGTAGACCGGTCAACAGGGCCGAGTCCGAAGTTTCCCGCTCCTCACACGCACCATCCCAAAGATCGCATGCGGCTACATCCCATGTATCTGGAAAGACCTCATCCTTTCGCCACATATCCAAGGCATATTCCAGCATGTCCCAACAATCGCATGTCACAGGCGCCTCCCGCCTTTCGAAGGCATTCTCCCGTCATACCCGAGCATCCAGAATTTCACATGAAGAGCAAATAATCATAGATGCTAAAGCTGCTGAAGCTGTCTTTCGCATAGCAGTTGAAGAAGAAGGAATTGACAGCCATAGAACTCAAAGAAGCCGAAATAGAAGGTATAGCAGCTAAAATGAAGGCCAAAAGAAAAGACGCCCAAGCAGAGCAGACAAAATGGCTAGAGTGGAAGTCCTTCAGAAAATACTCCAGTGCACCACTTTCTTGCCAAATAGGGAACAACTGGAAAATGAAGAGTGTCGTAGCCACGTACAGGTATACGTGGACAATCAAAGTGCATTCCAGAATGCGCAAGTGAGAGCGCCACAGCTAGCCACAAGTCCCCCAAGACCGAGTAGACGAACAAAGGAATCTCAATGACCAGATTCGCCGATCAGCCACAGTGTTGATGTCACGACACCTAGGTCATGAGATCCTCCTGCTGTTGCTGCCCCATTGAAGCCACTGAATCACACCCTTGATAACAACCTGATGGGACTACCAGCAACGGCAACGACTGCACAGCGGGGAGTGCCACAAGATCTTTACACCATTGTTGCCCCACAGAACCTGCCGAACCATACCACTAATGGCTATCAGATGGATCCGCCTACAACGCCAATGGCCCTACAGCAGAACTAGCCATCGCTAGGGGAAGAGATTGAAAGAGCTTGAGCTGTACTAGAGTCCCTGCTGCGCCAACAGGAGGCAGCGTCCTAAGGAACTGCCACCAGACCTGACCACAGAGGAGAGTCTTGAACAACAGCCGTGCCAACCTACCAGGCAACTAGCTACACTCTACGAGAAAGACAGAGCCTCCAACAAATAAGCAAGCAGCAACCTGAGTTCCCTCAGCTCAACACCAGAGCAGAGGAGTTCAGACCAAGCCAACAAGGTCCCTTGCACGTGGCTTGGCAAAATGCCCTCAGCCAACAATGTGCTGAAAGAAGTTATCAGCCAGCCATGGCGCACGCCCCCACTCCCGGAAGGGATCCACCAAGCTACAGCCCGCACACAGGATCAATGTATCCCCCAATGTATATTGGAAGAAGGTTGGATTTGGCAGCCAGAGGGTTACGGAAATTCTCAGACAAAGCTGGAAGAGACTACTTGTTGTGGAAACATATCTTCAAGCGCGCCATTAATGAAGAAAAGGCTGGGCCAGACAAGGAACTTGTTCAGCTGACAGCATGGTTAGGCCCAGAATCTGTAAACACTGTGAACGACATCTTCGCATCCCATTTGGGCGACCCCAAAATTGGCCTTGCAGAGGCTTGGGCCGCATTTGACGAGGACTACGGTGATCCCTCAGTGACGGAGTCCTCACTTCTAGACCGCGTTCTCAATTTCCCCGACATAAGAATCAATGACCGCCAACAGCTGAAGACTTTCTCGTCACTCATTACTCAACTACGGTCAGCACAACAGGATCCTACCTTGCCGGGATTAGCTTGCCTCAACCTGCTTAGAATACAAACTCCTATTATCCAAAAACTATCACAGTTGATATGTGAACAATGGATCGAGTTTTCTCAAACTTATGGGGAAGACAACCAAAACAAAATTTCCCCCTTTGCGGTTCTCGCTAAATTTATCAGCAAGAAGGCTAAACTCCACAATGACCCCCGGTACCTTCCCATCAGAGAAGCACACTATCCGACAACCGGGCGAAGCAGTCACAGTCCTGATGTACCCAAGGGATCTGTCCAAGCTACGGACAGAACCACCCCTTCGGTGTATAAAATAGACATCACGCCTCCCCCAAAGAAGTCTCCAAACGAACGAATACCGAGAAGCGTTCTTTCGAATCCTCATTCAACTACAAAAGGCCTGACTTGCCCAATGCACAAGTCTTTTCACTCTCTAAATGATTGCAGAGAATTTAGGAAAAAATCCCTAGATGACCGAAAGACCCTACTCAAAGAGAATAGGATATGTTTCAAATGCTGTGACTCTATGGGTCACATGGCCAAAGACTGCACAGCTAAGGTGAAATGCCACCTGTGCAACACTGATAGGCACCCAGCAGCCTTACACCTAGAACCTAAGACACTGTCTAAGGAGTCATGACAAGCAATTAGCTCTACACCAGACTAATCACTGACCTAGTCCTGTTGCTAAAGAAGACCAACATGGAAAATTGAACCTCTTCAGTTCCAGCTGTTGTTCTTGATTCTTTAGCTCCAGCTGTTCCTGAGTTTCCAGATGTTCCTGATTCTGATTCTTCAGCCCAGCTGTTCCTTTGTTTCCAGATCCAGCTGTTCATGTTTTTCCGGGTTCTTCAGTTCCTGAGTATCCTGTGAATCCAGTTCCCTTTGTTCCTGAGAAACTTTCAGTTCCAGTTTTTCTGTTCCAGATTTGGTTCCAGTTTCCTTCACAGGAAGAAGACCCTGTCTCACTGGGAGACAAGACTGCATACCAGAACTATTGGCCCATGGGACTTGCGCACTGGGCCCACCCACTTGATGAACTAGTTTGCCCAGCTGAGGTCCAGATCATGAAGCCACGTGAGTCAGGTTATGACTCAAAGACACTTGTACCACACTGATCATCAATTTGTTCCCGTTGCTGATGAAGACTGAACCAGAAGATCAAACCTCAAATTATGTATTGTCTTATGCATTGTTTGATGTAACACTTGCCTTTTTCATAATTGTGCATTTTTTATATTTACCAATAGTTATGCATGTTTGATACCAAGTTTTTACCTATTTAGTCACAATTTAGTTAACAATGAGCATTGCAGGCCTTATTGCTATGTTTTTACTATTTTAGTAGTGGAAATATAAATTTCCAAGCGGGGAGTATTCTGGAATGTATATGTAACCCCAACTAGAGAGCAGATATCACCATGTTAGAATGTCTGGCAGTTTTTGGGTTAAATGCTAGGTATGTGGATGGGTCAGTGGGAGGGAGTTCCAAAGGGTCATTGGGAGACTTCCTGGACACAAGCCACATGGGAATCTCTTTGTCTGTAAGAAGCATGGGTGATGGAAGGTCACACAATAAGCCTGAGCCATTATAAAGATGGCATGGAAGAGCATCATACTTTTACCTAAAGAGATGGTCTAAAGAAATGGACAAAGGATGTATTTTCCAGGAGTATCAACCACAGCATGAATGCAAGTAATCTTTCTAATAAATATATTTTTTGTTTATTATAAGATCTTTTGTTTTGAGTTATCTATCTGACTGGATTTAAAAGAAGGCATTTTTTATATCTGAGTCAGAATACCAATGCTTGGGGGAAGAGCCAGGTCTTCAGAACCTTTCAGAATACTAAAATGGTAGGGATCCCTCTGATCTCCAGTGGGAGGATGTTCCTCACCAAAAAGGCACACCTCCAAATCCCATCTAATAGCAACATTTAAGGGAAGGGATCTTGAGTGCACCCACCTTATCTAATTTAGTAGGACAGGCAGATACCAGCAGGGAGAGGCATTCCTTTAAGTAACCTAGCCTTATGCCATTAGGGCTGTTAAGATGATAATCAGCACCTTGAATTGGCGCTGGAAAGCAACTGCATGCCAGTGCCACTTACACAGCAGTGGTATTACTTGAATGAACCACAAGGCATCCAAAACTGCAAGTGCTGCTGCATTCTATACAGTTACAGCTTCTGGATAATCTTCAAGGTCAGCTCTGTGCGAAGGCATTATACTAATTCAAATGGGAGGTGATTAAGACATGGGTGACTTCTTCCCTATACTATTGCTTGCAGCACTGTCTGATTATCCAGGTGATCAACTCTATTCTGTTTGTAGGTGGTAGGCCTGTATCGCTTATGTGGCTCAGCAGCAGTGAAGAAGGAATTACATGATGCCTTTGAGAGGGATAGTGCTGCTGTTGTTCTTTCTGAAGATCTTTATCCAGACATCAATGTGATTACAGGTTGGTGCCTACTCTTGTTAGACTTATTGACTGAAAAAATTCCCAGTGGGCTCTGGAAAGACTTCTGGAATTAATAACATGTAGGCAGGTCACATTACCAATACCAATGTGGAGTGTGGGAAAAAACCAATTTAGAAACACACTGGAACTCATTGACTGCTGGGTCAATTAAAACAAATTTACTGCTCTTACTGAAACATTTGCTCACCATCTATCACTATTATGGGATCAAGGCTTTCTAGCTATAACCCTTCTTCTCTGTGTGAAGTGCAACAGGTTCTTGAGGTTCTCCCTGCACACCCAGCCTTTTGAACCCACTCTGCATTTCTCCCTTGCTATGCAGTTCTTTCCCTCTTCTTCACAGTACAGATCACAGTTAAAAGAAGCTCAAGGAGTTCTGTCTTATGTGAAAGGTGCTGACTCTTCTACAGATAGGTTGAAGGTATTGGAGAAGGACTCATGTAGGCTGCTGGGAACTGGGTTTCCCTCTCCAAACTTTTTTACCTGAATTCAGGCCTTCCCCAAGTTTACACAGACTTATCAGCCAGGCAGTGCACATCCCGGTCCACCTCTTGGAAACAGCATTCAAAAGTTCCACGTAGGATTTCTGGAACCATGAGACAACTTAGTCTTCCTTTCCAACTATTAGTGGAACTGAAGTTTGATTTGCATTTCTGAAAGGGGATAAAGAGTTGGATAAGAAATCCATTAATTGCTAAATAGATAGTTGGCACATTCAGGAACACTAAGAAAGGTCTCCTGAGCTTTATTTGGGTGTGTTATTGTCAACTGTCCATTTGGCACTTTCAACAAAAGAAACTCCTAGCTCTTTAGATTGACCAAGACTGTAGCTTTATTGAAAAATCCATCTAGGTACGGCAGAAGCAAGTCACTTTTGGGATTTTTCCTACAAAAACCCACATAGGTAACTTCCTTTTCCCCTCTGGGTCACCATAGTCCACCAATTAATTCTTTTGCTTTGGGAAAAGCTGTCTGCTTGGTCAAAACATTCTTCATTACTTCGCCTTGTTAGATAATGTCTCCCCAGCAACAGACCATTCACTTGCATTCCATAGCCTCCCTCCACCCTTAGGAATTCACCACCTTCCTTCTGTCACTGTTTGGCAAAGCTGCGAGTGAAAGTAAGTACAGGCAACTATAGAGTTAACTCAGGTTTGACATGCCGACCCTCCAGAAGAATGATAGCCCTGGAAAATAAAACACAATAGTGCACACATTAGACATTACTGTTCACTTTCAAGACTACCCTACACTTTGCCTGGCCTGGATGCTCAGCATGAAATATGCACACTAACCTAACTGCCTTCACATCTGATGCTGCCACTCATTCTGCATTGGCTAGAGGGTAGCCTCTCCATAATACTAAATACTGCAGTTTCCCTCTGTCTTACCGGGAGTGAAGAATATCTTTAATTTCATAGTGTTCCTCTTCTTTGACCAGAATAGGAGGACCTGAGGCACTTCTGCAATGAGTCTTAATCCTGAGCTGCAGAAAGGTTTCAGCGGACTGCAGTGAAATATAGGGTGGGCTCGCTTAAAGTTTTCTGGCAGCTGCAATTCTACAGTAACCAGATTTATGATCTGGGTAATTGGAAAAGGCCCTATATACTTTGGACCCAACTTTTTACCTGCCCTGTTGAGATTTTGTAGACTTTGGTACACGGTTTACTTCCCATCCCCTGAATTCCCCCCCCCCCCCCCTTGCTTCTGTCTGATATTTACCTAGCTTTCTGTAAGCGCTGTGAACTGCTCTACTACCCCCATGTTTCCTTTAAGGTAATTCCAACTCAGCCAATGAAACTAAGGACTGTCATCCCTGAGGGATCCTCTGAGCATCAGCAGAAATCTCCACTCCAATCCTGCAAGGGGTAAATAACTACTACGCACGGAGGTCTTGTATGCCATTTCTGCAAATGGCAGGAATTTGACCCAATAGGTCTGTTGGTAGTTGACATAACATCTCAGGTACTGCTCTAACATTGAATTGGTCCATTCACAGGCTCCATTTGTACTGGGATGGTAGGCGGAGCTAAGACCCTGTAAGGGCCAATCAGCTTAAGGAATTCCCACCAAGTTTTGCCGTGAACTGCACTCCACGGTCTGAGATGATGCACTCAGGGACTCCATGCAGTTGGTAGATATGATTTATGAACAGCTTTGTCAGGGTTTGGGTGGAGGGAACCTTTGGGCATACCACAGAATGTGCCTGCTTGGAGAATAAATACATAATGGTCCAAATTACATTGTTTCCCTGCACTGTCTGGTAAGTCCACAAAATCCATGGAGATTTCCTCCCAGGGGTTCTGTAAGGACCTGCCTCAGCTAATGCTCCCAAGAAACCAGAACTCTTGAAACTGGTTCCGATAGATGGAACCAAATAAATCAGAACTCTGAGCCTTGAATCTTTCTCAAAGATAGCTTCAGGAGGGGGGGGCATTAAGCATTTCTAGGTTTTTATCTGTCCAGACCTCAAAGGGGATCTTGTTACCTTCCAGGAACTGTCTCAATGTAAGGAGAGCCCATCGGATTGTGTAAGCCTCCTTTTCCCAGATAGCCCAGCGCCTTTCAGTGTTGGACAACAGACATGTAAGCACAGGGTTGTAATTCCCCTTTGGCATTCTTTTGGAATAGGACCGCCCCCACTGCTATATCACTGGCATCTGCCTGTATTACAAATGGCTTGTCAACTCTGCAATGAACCTGGCTGAAGCCATCTTGCTTGTTTTCAGTTGCCACAGGAATGGGGAGAGGAATGGGGAGTTTTATGCTAGTCTAAACATTTCTCTGTCCTGTGGGAACCAAGGTTATTTCTGTTCATTATACTGGGGGTTCAGCTTAATGTTAGAAAGCCCACCAAACTGTTCTATTGGGAAACGTAGTTGATTGCATAGTTTCTGGGGTGGGAAGTTTAACTTTGTAATGCTGTAACTTTTGAAGGGAACTTTAGTCTTGGTTTCACTTTTGACCCTGCCGATACTTTGTAGTCAATAAACATATTCTTGGAGGAAAACTCAAGTCTCAGAATTCTGCTTTAATTGGTTTCATCTATCGCAGACATGTCAAACACAAGGCCCGGGGGCCAGATGCGGCCTGCGACGTGGTTTCATGTGGTCCGCGAAGCCATCCTGGAAACAGTGAGGGAATGGCCCCCGCTGCCTTGGCCCCGGCCCTGGTCGCTTGGGAGCCAATGTACAATTTTGTGGTGGCCATCTATGCTGAAATGCATTCAGTCTTAGCTCTACAAGGCCATCTAGAAACAGCAAGGGACTGGCTCCTGCTGCGTTGGCCCCGCCCCCTGGGCACACACTGGGGAGGTGTCACCCTTTGTGGGGAATGAAGAAATGCACCATCGCCTGGAAGTGGCCAGCAAATAGACCTCGCCTACTTCACATATCCTGCTTGATGGGCTCCGGGGGAGGGGTTTCAGCAGGCTCTTCCAGTGGACCATGCCTTGGCGCTTGCCCTGGTTCCACCCCCTTCTGCCAGAGACCCTCAGATCTGCCCCATTCCTGCCCAGGCCCCCACAGGCACCCTTGACGTGACAATGTAGAGCTGGCCATGCCCATCCAGTAGGCCACACCCACTCCAGCCATGCCCAGTAGGCATGCCCACCCTGGTCACACCTACCCAGCCCCCGAGGACAACTGCATTGCTGATGCAGCCCTCAGTGAAATTGAGTTTGACACCCCTGATCTATCAGAACCATGACACGGCTCCTCTGGGTTGAGTTGTTTCAGGATTGACTCCGCAGCAAACAGGTGCTTCAACATTTCAAAAGTGGCTTGGCAGTTAAGGAACCAATCCAGGGGCTGACTGGGTTTTGGTTTTGCCCCTCCCCCTGTCTTTAGCAAATTGGTGATTGGTAGGGCTATCTGGGCGAAGGTGGAGATGAATTGGTGGTAAAAGTTCATGAAGCCCAGAAAATTCTGTAGTTGCCCTCTGATCTGAGGGGGCTCCCACTCCAGTATTGCCTTCACCTTACTGGGATCCATCTCCACTCCCTCACTGGAGATCTGGTATCCCATGTAGTCTAAGTAGCTCTTGTGGATTTCACACTTAGACAGCTTGGTGTAGAGTTGGGCTTTTTACACTTTTCTGAGTATGGCTCTGACCAGCTTCAAGTGTTCTTCAGGAGTCTTGGTGTATATTAATATATTCTTGTACAAATGCTTATGCAAGATCTCATTTATCAGTTGCATGAATACAGTGGGACCCCTTTCAGCCCAAATGGCATTAACTCAGAACTGATAGCAGCCTAGGGGCAATGGAACCTGTTTTCCACTCATCCCCTTCCTTAATCCTCACTTGATAATACCCCTCCCTCAAGTCCAGCTTCGTGAAGTTCCTTCCCTTTGCCAAATAGCCTAGCTTGTCCCTCATAAGGGGGTGAGAGTACATGTTTTCCACGCATATGCAGTTCAGCCCCCTATAGTCAATACATAGTCTAAGGGACCTGTCCTCCTTTTCTTTGAAAACCACCGGGGCCCCCATTCTCAATTTTGCCAGCTGGATGAACCCCCTCCCTAGGTTCTGCATGAATGCATCTAGGTTGTCCAGTTCCCATGCCCCAGCATTGTGCAGGGACATGCTGCCCTCCAGGTTGGATGCCACTGCATAAACCCGGGCTGCATCATCTGGGTACATTCCCCTATAACCTCCATGTGATGCTATATCTGGCCTAAGAAGTGAGCCAGTGGCTGCTGTTCCCTGCAAGGGGGATCCATTTGTCCTGGCAGGTGCTGGCACTACCAGCTGAAGGAGGAGAGGGGACAGGATAGTTAGTGACTTCACTGCCCCTGTCTCGGCCACAGTTAACTTGGCTCCCAGTAACGCCGCTCCCTTGATCTCCAGGCCTCTGAACCTCTCTCCCAGCTGCTCCATTGATGGGCTGTGGGTGGTAGCAGGGAGCTTCCACTCAACCAGCTTGTCCCATTCCACCAACTGCCTCTCCTTCCATTAGGGCAGTGGTTCTCAACCTGTGGGTCGGGACCCCATTTGGGGTCAAATGACCATTTCACAGGGGTCACCAAACCACACTGTCTGCCATTTTTTTCCCTTTTCCCTAGCTGTCCTACTCCCTCTTATTGGTGGCCACACCCACTTGGGGGTCACCACAACATGGGGAACTGTATTATGGGGTCACAGCATTAGAAAGGTTGAGAACCACTGCATTAGGGGGTCCTTGGCCTCTGCCACCTTTCCCATGTTCATTGCCCAGCAAGTCTTTAGTCCCTGGTATGGGGCATCCTGCAGTTGTTCCCTTAAGGTCACTGACTTTGGTTCTAGCTTTTCAGCCCTCATTTTGGGACATGCACATCCTTGTCCCAGTCTATCAGGGCTTCTTGACTCAGGGGCTCCTCCAGCTTCTTCCTCTCCTCTGATTCTTTGCATGTTGCCAACATCTCAGTTCTTTAGCTTCCTGGTGGGATCCAGGTAGGCACTACTGTAAGAACTGACAATGTTAACCATCCCATTTGTCACATTCAACAAAAGAAACTCTTGGCTCTTTAGATTGACCAAGAGTATAGCTTTACTGAAAAATCCATTTAGGCACAGCAGAAGCAACCTCAGTTCTTGGATTTTTCCCATGAAAATCCATATAGGTAACTTCCTTTTCCCCTCCAGGCCATCCATAGTTCATAGTTCACCAATT